GGATTGAAGTAGGACAGAAAGGAACACCCAGAAATCCTAAGGACAAGCATGAGATTGCTTCTCTTACCTTAAGAGCATTAAGAGATGTCGTTAAGCCAGGGCACAGTAGCACATGCCTATAATCTGAGAAATCAAAAGGAGGCACTCAAGTTCAAGTCCACACTGCACTACTCGGGAAGTAAGAATGAGCAGAAAGAAAAGAGAAGAAGGGAGAGGGGAATCTTAGTGTCTTTAGCAGTGAGATACTGCTAATTTATTTTGAGTTATAGTTACAGCCTCTTTCTTTCTCCTCTCCTTTTTGTTTTCTCTCCCATTTGTTACTTCCCCATGACTACTGTGGCTGATTTCTTCTTGCTTCAGGGTAGGGTGTGAGGTGGAGCATTCTAAACCCTCATTTGAGCTGGACTCTAGTTCTCCAGTGGGCAATCATGTCTGTTCCTCAGGGGCTGGCGTAGATGATCCTGTGGGAGAAGTCTCTATTCAGGTGGACTTATTTACACATCCTGGCACTGGGGAGCATAAGGTCACAGTGAAAGGTAAGTGCTGTTCACTTAGACGTTGAACCCTTTATTTTTTTTCATTAATTTATTTATTCACTTTACATTCCAATATCTGGTCCCCCTCTCCTCCCAATACCCCCTTCCACAGAGGAGCTGAATCTGTTTCTTGTCTGTGGGTCCCCTTCCCTTAACTGGGCTGCCTTGTATGGTCTTAGTGGGAGAGGCTATACCTAGTCCTGCAGAGTTTGACCCTTTCCTAATCATGGCCTCACTCATCCCAGTGCTCCAGCTCCATCCTTCCCAAGCGGAATATGACCTAGGGCTTAAGAACTAAGAATACTGGTAGGATCCCTCACAGATCTCCCTTGTTTGGATAGTGGTAGCAGCCAATGACCTCAAGTGGCAGACAGCGGGTATGTTCCGGCCTTTTGTGGAAGTGACCATGGTTGGCCCACACCAAAGTGATAAGAAGAGGAAGTTCACAACCAAGTCTAAAAGCAACAACTGGACTCCCAAGTACAACGAGACATTTCACTTGTAAGTTACAGAGTAGGAAACCCACAGAGCTCTAGAATTGGGGAGTGCTTGGTAGTAAGGCTGTAGACACTGGGAGTAGACCAACTGGTTAGATGTCAAACTTGGGTGAATTCAGCAGAAAATGTTCATTTGTGGCTTTTTAACCCTTTACCCTGTGCTCATAGCCTCCTGGGAAATGAAGAGGGTCCAGAAGCTTATGAATTGCAGATATGTGTGAAGGATTACTGCTTTGCCCGGGAGGATCGTGTGATAGGATTGGCAGTGATGCCCCTGAGGGATGTGGCAGCTAAGGGCAGCTGTGCCTGCTGGTGCCCATTGGGCCGGAAGATTCATATGGATGAGACAGGCATGACCATTCTCCGGATTCTGTCTCAGAGGAGCAATGATGAGGTAGCCCGAGAGTTTGTGAAGCTCAAATCGGAGTCTCGATCCACAGAGGAAGGGAGCTGACCAGCTCTGCCATCTCTGCCTTGTGTGCCATCCAGACAGCACCCACTGCACAGATCAGCTGGGGAGAGTTAGCTGTGTAGCTAGCTTAGAGTCCTTGTAGTCAAAAGGCTGACTCTCCCAGTTAAGGATGTCTAAGGTGAATCTTGGGGTAGTAAGACTATGGCTTTTCAGAGAGAAGTCCTGAATCCCCAACCCATAGGTCTGTGGTGCTAGAAGCTGGGCTGTGGAAACTACTTCATGGAGAGATTTTTCCATAAATAGAGAGGGACAGACATTGCCAAGAATGTCAGCTATTCTTGGTAGACAACTGTCCACTCCACTTCCCACTTCCTCCCTCTCTAAACCACACTTTGTCCAGGTAGGCACGTGTGTGCTCCTCATTAGAACATGTTTAGAAGGCGTGGAGCTTGACCTGGCTGACTCTATAATCCACAGTGGAGATTGGCCAGAGCAGGAACACACAGAGTGGAATTCACTGTCACTTGAGCAGCAGGATTGGTGTGGCTTTAGTGAGAACAAGGCTTGGAAACTGAACAAGATACCTTCTGAAAGGCACCGAGCTAATTCCTTTGCTCAGAATAGCTGTCATAAGTCAAAGCAGGTTCACATGGTGCTTTGGAGCCCTGAGCAGAATATTTCTTTGGAATCCAGGCACTAGGGGTCTCATCTGCCCAGAGTACTCCCAGCTCTCTACTCCTATAAACAGGGAGTGATACTTAGAACACACACACACACACACACACACTTACTTGTACGTATAGACTTGAAGGCTAAGGATCCAAGGATATTTTCTAGAGTACTCCCTGAACAAAGCCAAAAATAATGGAAAATGATCTAGAAAGAACTGTTCTCACCTATGGCCACAACCTTCTGGCTGTCCTCCTTGCAGAAAACATCTAGTCTTTGGCCTTCCTCTTTTCTTTGGCATCAGCTGCTGTTCCCCACAGATTTGTCAAGCATAAAGGAGGAGCCTGGACTCTCATTCCTCTGTATGGGCTGGATGGAGGAGGACCATAGGATTTGCTGGAAGGTCAGAGACAAACCCTTTCAGCAGGTCTGATGAGCTCCCTGGACCCTTGCTCAGAAATGTGACTTGATCCTTGGATTTCCTGATAGTAGCCTCCTGAAATTCCTAAGGACTCAACATTGTCCACAATGCGCCAGACAATACACAAAACAAACCAACCATCTTTGCTGTTTTTAATTATTACATGTGCCATTATTATGGGATATTGTAGGGTAGACTTTAATAAATTATCTCATAGCAGCTTTTGGAGTCTGGAATTCTGTGAATATGTAGAAAACTATAAAAATGATTGTCATGTTTAATCATAGCTTTTGGACTAATAACCTCTGGTTACACACCCTGTCCTCACTCCACTTATAGGGTCCAGTGGTGGACCCTAAGTGTTGTGAATGACCACTGATTCCACAGTTATTAGGCTGAATCATTTTGGTTTTAACTGAGACACCAGTCTGATAAATAGTCTTGTTACCTAGGACATCAGCTTCCTGTAAAAGGTTCAGAAGAGAAGGAGCTGACGTGCCACAGAAAAATAGTCCATGCTTCCTCCTTCCTTGTCTGGGATCACTAAGGTGGATCACAGCCTGGGCTATGAAGCAAGGTATCTGCAGAGAGATGCAAAACACAGCATAGGGCTGGGGCTGCTGTGACAGCCCAGGGTGGGCTTTCATCCCAGCTCTTTTCAAGGCAGATAAGCTGTGGTAGCAATACTTGGAAGGTAGAGAAAGGAAGGTTAAAATGAGGCCTTGTGGAATCAAAAAAGATGATACAGAAAATACAGACCTCACATACTCCTTCTATTGTAGCCAGCACCTGCAACAGCAAACTGGATCCATTCTCATTGCTTGCTAAATAGATCTTTTTAGTCAGTTGCCAAGTCATTGAAAGCCTCTTCCTTCTCCTTTCCCCCTCCTAAAGCAGCTACTGTCTGTCACCTGTACATCAAAATTGTCCCCAGGGACTGGGTAGGGCAGCTCACTTCAAGACGTTGAGAGATAGGCATGTGAATAGCTGTGAATCTGAGGCCAGCTTGGTTCACATAGCAGTTCCAGACTACAATTAGACCATGTTGAAAAATCAAATGTCCCCGTGAACCTGCTATCTATTTTCTAGTCCCACTACCACTAGTTGTTAAGGGGCTTGATTGGGTTCATTTTCTCTGCTAGTTAAAGAACTACAAGGCAAGGGGGTGGGGGGATCTCAACCATGGCAGACAGGTGGCTATAGAGAAATTGCAAAACGGCAGATTCAGCAGTTGGAAGAAAGCTTTTTTAAAAAAGTGAGAAAACATTCCCATTCAGCAGGGACACAGAGAAAGACCCTCCTGCAAAGCAGAAGCCCAGCTTCTTGATGGCTAGGAACTTGAAAAGTGTGAAGGGTCTTCCTCCCCTAATTTAGGGTTGGTAAGTTTGAACAGACAGGACAGTTGGTTGGCCCACAACTGTTGTGTAAACATGTCCCGATCTGGCCTTGAACTTGCTGAGTGGGGACCCCACTGGCAGAGGGGTTTTTTAAAAAGCCAATCAATAATAATAATAATTATTATTATTATTATTATTATTATTAAAGAGCCCAGGCTTTTGTCTCAGGTCAAGAGGATGAAGAAGAAGCCAGGCATCTTGGAAGTTCACAGTTTATTACTTGGTCATGGCCCCTCTCATATGTTTGCCTGTCAAAGACTCTAACTCCTATTCCCTCATAGTATTTTTTATTTCCCCTCCTCTGAATCACTGATAAACCCAAGCCTTTGTTCCTACTCTCATTTTGAAAAGTTCTTTAAAGTGTTATTTACTTTTGTGTGTATGTGTGTTTTGCCTGCATGTATGCCAGTGTATCATGTGGGTGCCTAGTACCCACAGAAGTCAAGAGAAGGCATCTGATCCTGGAACTGGAGTTATGGATGGTTGTGAGACACCATATGGATGTTCTCTGCAAGAACAAGTGCTTTTAATCACTAAGCCATCTCTCTGGGTCCCTCTTCTTTCCTCTTCAGTTAAAAGCTACTCAATGTCACTGTGGCTTCTAAGCTGAAACTTAAGCCCCTCCAGGAGTGCACACCCACCACATACCCACACACACAATCCCGAAGCTGACTGAATTATTCCCCTTATAGTTCCCTACATACTGTGCATTGTGTCCCTCAGTGCCATTTTACATTCTTGTGTCCTTGTTAATGTCCAACCACCCTTTAGTCTGTCACCTCTGGCAAGCCAGTGGAACTCAGTCATGCTCAGCACTCTCCACTGTTATTCTCCCCTCTTTAGCATGTAGTTAGCCCTGGAAGAATCTGAGGATTTCATCTTAGGACTCCGCCATCTCAGGGATTTAGTACTCAACTATTTCAAAGCCAGACTTTTTATCTGCTGTATCCTGGTTAGGGTGAGGGCTGCAAAAGGGGCGTGGTTGGAGACAGTCTCGTGGTTGGAGACAGTCTCGTGGTTGGAGACGGTCGTGGCTGCGCGTGGATGGGCGGATCCAGCTCTGGGCGGAAGCTGTGGCTCTGTGGCACCTGCGCAGAAAGGTGCGTTAAGATGGAGGTTGCTGGAGGAGAAGGCTGTGAGGCGACGGTAAGTAGGGGGCGCCCAAGGAGAAAGTACGGTTTTCTTTCTGACAACATTGCTTGGAGACCTTGTATTACTTGAACAACTGGGTGGTTACTCATCCTCCTACTTCTTTGAGAACGATTGTAATATTCACCAAGAGAACTCTGTTAGTACTCCCGGAATATACAGGTTTCCTTGGCATTCCCAGAGGACAGTCGAAGACACTTCCAAAGAGTGTCCTTATCTTCCCCCAGATACCTCCCAAAGGGCACACATTTGTCCATGTATTCCATAAAGCAGGTTAACCCTAAGTCTCCCAGCTGTGTCATATCCCTGGTAACTAAGGACGTTTGTTCATTTCCCCAAGACTGTTAAGATTCTTGGGCATATGCTGTCATTCTCTTCCTTTTAATGCCTACTTGACAGGAAAAATTCAACTCTCCACCTCAAACAGACTTTCTAATGTGAATAAGTAGGTGCTTATTTATCCAAGGAACTGCCAAGGTAGACATTGTTTCTTTGCTTTGAGATAGGGTCTTGCTGGATAGCCCTAACTGGCTTAAAACTCGCTGTGTAGACTAGGCTGCCCTAGAACTTGTACTGATCCTCCTGCCTCTGCCTCCTGGCTGCTAGGATCACAAATATTATAAATTGTGCTTGGTGCCCTTGGAGGCCATCAGATGCCCTGGGACTGTAGTTAGAGACAGATAGGACCTGCCATGTGGATGCTGGGAACCCAGTGCCACTGAAAAAGCAGTCTCTCTTCAGCCCCTTGATACAGTTTTAAAAGTAGGAGAAAGTTCAGGTTAGAAGATGTGAACTAGAGGATTTCTAAAGGATAGAATCACTTCCGTTAGCATATTTTGACTGGCCCCTGCATGGTCTTCCCAGACCCAGAAGCAGAAGGGCAAAGCTGAACAGGCAACATAAAACGGCAAAGATGTAATGAAGCTGAAGTCAGAAGATAGAAATGTGAGTCTCAGCTCTGACACACACTGCTCAGGAGTCTAGCTTTAGTGTGACAGTTTGCTACAATTGCTCTTTGGAGTGGTAATTCCTTCCATATCTAACTCAGAGGGGTGAAATGGGCTCATATACATAAAAGGACTTTGAAAATTATACATTTTCTCTATGTGAATAAAGAAGTATTATGCAGGATACTCTGTCATCTGATACAGTAACTTTTAAGGAATTTTTCTTGCTTAGTCCCAAGTTCAAGGAAAATATATTTGTTGAGCAATTACTATATGTCATGAATTCATCTAAGTCCAGCCCCAAGCATTGAATAAGAGACAAATAACTCGTAAATTTAGGAGTGATCACCAGCATATTAATTACTTAAGTATCTAGTGCAGACTCAACAGCATATTGAAGTAGTAGGAAGAATCTGAATTTAGACTTAACTCTGCTGCTGTGTAACTGTGAAAAAGACTCGTGTGTCAACCTTAATATCTGCATCTGTGAAATAGGGAGTTAAGGTAACCTCAAATGCTGTTTCCAGTTGCACTTACTTAATGTAATGAATAGATTGCCTTCCAAGAATGCCCCTATTGAAAAAGCTGAACAGTCAGAGGAACATAAGGACAAGTACTAAAGTCACACTAGGTTCAGCACAGCAGTAGTAAACGACAGAGCTGCCCTGTTTGATAGTAAAATGCTCAGAGACTTCATGGAAGGCTAGGCAGACTGGGAAGGATGGAGACTTTGGAGTAGAAAAAAGGGAGGGGGCCCTTGCAGATATTGGAACCTGAATGGAACATCAAAAGAATAAAGCATTCATCTCTTCTTATCCTCTTTTAAAAGATTTTTACATTTTAATTATGTGTATTGGTCTGTGTTTGGGTATGTGCACTTGAGTGCTAGTGCCTACTGAAGCCAGAGGTGTCAGATCCCTATGGAGCTGGAGGTACAGGCTGTGGGAACTTCCTGATGTAGGTGCTGGGGATCAAACTGTGGTCCTCTGCAAGAGCAGTATATACTCTTAACCACTGAGCTGTCTCTTCAGACTCCATGTATTATTTTTCTAATGTAGCAGTCAGAGTCTTGGCAGAAAGACAGTTGATACATACATACTCTGTTCATACTAGAGCCAAGATAGAGCTACAGCTCTGGAAGGGGGGGCTCCAGTGGTGAAAATCACTGCAGGAACTTGAACAAGGTGCAGAGGGATAAATGCCCTAATGTTTCCCATGCACTCCAGTTGCCAGCTAGTACTTCTCACTGGTAAGACCTAACAAGCAGTCTAGAGTCAAGAGAGTATGAGGGATATAGCCCATAGAAGTCAGCTTCCTAGAATAGGACAGGAACACTGGGGAATGGAAGAGGAAACAGCAAACATTTTCTCAGGGAACAAATCATCATTGTGAATGCTTTCCAAATATTGTAGTGTTCCCTATGTTGAAACACTGTAAGGTTCAGTCTCAACTGTATGAGGATGCCAGTACCTTTGTTGAAGAATGAGTGTGAAGGTAAACTAGTGGATTGGATAATACTGAACCCACTATTTTATTCTGTGGTATAGGAAAAGTACCCAGCATGCAGCCTCGATCCACCCTGGATGCCCACTGTCTTACATGCCAAAATTTCCCCTTGGCTAAAATACCTTCTCTACCCAAGGTCTCAAAGTATAGGTGAACTGACTGAATGAAGGGAAAGATAACCTCAATCCCTAGGGGCCTGTTGCCCATTATAATGACTTTGTCTTTTAATGGGAGAAAGCTAAGAAATCATTGAAAAACATCAGAGATTTTAAATCATTCACTAGGGGAATCACCTGGATTTTTGTTCAGTGAGCTTTGATCACTTTTAAATTATTTTAAATTATTTAGATGTTGAGTTCCTGTTATATCATATGAGGAAGTATATATTAATGGTCCTCAGCTTTGAATACACATTGGAATCACTTGATATTGAATAATACTAATACCATGAATCCACTATTTTGTTGGTTGACTGGTTGGTTTTTTTTTTTTTTTTTCAAGACAAGATTTCCTTGTATAGTCCTGGCTATCCTGAATCTCACTCTGTAGACCAGGCTAGCCTTGAAGTTACAGAGATCCATCTCCCTCTGCTCCCAATTTCTGGGATTAAAGATGTGCACCACACTGCCTGGCTCGAATCCACTATTTTGATTAGTTTAGTTTTGGCTGCATGCTAGGCTTTTGACATTTTTATTTTAACCTGAACTGGGTGCTGCATATGCCTATAATTCTAGCTATTCAGCAGGCTCAGACAGAAGATTGTGAGTTCAAGGCCATGGAGCAACATAATGAAATCAAGTCCCAAGAACAAAATGAGAGGGGCTGGAGAGAAAGCTCAGCAGGTCAGTGTATTCCTGCTCTTCCAGAAGACCCGAGTTCAGGGTCAGGCACCCAGCTTGTAGCTCCAGCTCCAGCTCCAGGGAATCTGATGCCCTCTGCTGGCTCCACAGCCACCTGTATTTCAGTACACCTTCTCACACACAAACACAGGCACATAATTTTAAAATAAAAATACTTAAAGTTCCTATTTTAGTGAGAAGCAAGATAACCTACACACAGCACTGAGTAAAGTGTCCAAGCACACTGAATTTTTGATGCCAGCTAACTGACAAGTAGTTTTTGTTTCGTTCTTAGGTGGTGTTTCTCTGAGATGAAATACGTAATAGCTTTTATTTCAGGTAAGTGCTCAGCTCATATCAATTGAGGTGCAGGGCTCAGCACGCAGTCCTGGTATTCTCGCATCCTGCACTGTACCATCCTCTCACACAGTTTGTGCTTCCAGGACTTTAGTTAAAGCACTGAACTGACACCCTCCTAGAAATACCTTATAAATTGGGATCTGCATTGACTGAGGATGCATCTAGCTCAGTGAGAGGGGACCTGCCTAGCATTCATAATGCCCTAGGTTCAATCACCAGTTGATCAGAATAGGGAAATTATATTGTTTGCCAGGTGTGCTGGGACACATCTGTAAGCCTAGAATGTGGGAGGTGGATAAAAGATGATCAAGAGTCTATGGCCACCCTGGGTGAGTTCTAGGCCAGCTTGACTTACATGAGTCCTTGTCTCAAAAAAAAAAAAAAATAGAACTTCAAGACATTTGGTTAGGATTCAAACTTGATTTGCCTCTGACCTGGCCTGAAACTATTTTTGCTACAAAGGTGAGAGAGAAAATTTGCGAAATTGAGCTTGAGGTTATTATTGATTATATTAATTTTTACCTGAGAGTAGTGTTTATTTTTAGAGGACATTAGAAGGAATGCTTAAAGAGTTGAAACACATGGATAAGTAATTTAATTCTGAACGTTGTAAGCAGAAAGCCTTGGGTAAAAATATCTTTCACAAAGCTTAAGGTGAGCATGTTTCTAATCTTTGACTTACAAGAGAGACAATAATCCAGCAGACTACCGTTGAATGCATCTGTTTAACTGAGATTACAGAACCATCTCTTCTTAAGACAGTATCTGGATAATCCCAGCCATTTGTCCCATTGTTGGACTTGAGTTGGAAGAGGAAGGAAAATACAAGAGAAGATATTGAAAGTCTCTGAGAGACATGCTGGAGAAAAGAAATTTCTGTAAAGGGTTTGAGGATGAATAACATGGAGTCGAGTGCATTTGAGAATTAAGGCAAATAGGAAAGCTAAGATGTTCCAGGTTAGTGCTAGGGAAAGTAAAGTGTTCATAGTTTGTTTGATTGGCTTCCTGTGTAGTAGGCAAATGAATCGGCTAGATATTAGGGCTCAGGTCCCTGGAACATAACTCATAACTCCGTGGCCACACTAACTCCTGATGGAAGATGACTATAGAGAAGACAGACCAAGCATCACATCAAGTACTACATTCAAAGGCTGGGAAGACCTCAAGATACAATTTAGGCAGACCCTGCTACTGACCCTTCCTAGCCTTTAAGTCAGGAGAAAGTGTACGCATAAACAGAGCTGAATGGAGATGGAACAGTTGTCTGGAGAGACTTTTTCCACTGCAGGTATTTAAGCAGGCTGGACATAGAGGAAAAGCTACTCAGGGTAGAGAGGTAAACTAGATAGCTGCCAGCGCCCTTCTCATTTCTACAATTTCCAGAATCAGAGCGACCCTAAGAAGACATCAGACATTCAAAGTGACTCCTAGCCCAGACATTCTTGGTGAACACAGACGGGAGTTGTGTGTTCTGTTGTGTTTAAGACAAGGCTTCACTTTGTAGGCCTGGCTGGCCTGGAACTCTTCTGTATAGACCAAGTTGGCCTCAAATCCACAGAGATCTTCCTACCTCTGACTCCCAAGCACAAGGATTAAAGAGTTATATTGCCATGTCCAGCTGAAAGGCAATTCTGAAATGGTTTTTTAAAAAAAGGAAAAAAATGAGATTTAGTTTAATTTAGGCATGCCAAATTTGATATCCTTGTGGATGTTTGGAGCCTGGGAGCCTCACACGGGAGTGACTGAGGCTCCCATTAGAGATGTGCTGCTTTTTTCTGTGAAGTACCATGTGAGACTGAGTCCCCCAGTGTAGGAAGCTGGGTTAAGTTAGTCACAGGAGTGCCTCGCTTCACAGCTACCACATTTGTATCTAATGAAGTAGGGCAGCTAAGGATAATGTGCCTTTGGGTTGCTATTAGCTGAGAGACACACAGATCCCAGAGCTGATTTTCAGCATCAGCCAGATAATGTGCTTGTATTCTTTGTAGCAATTGTCTTAATGAATTTATCAGCAGGAGACATCATGTAATGTGTATTTTTCAGGGAGATTTTCCTTGGACTGTTATTTTAAATAAATCTACCTATTGTTTGTGTTCATTCTTTCTTTAAAGAAACATTTATTATTTGTATGTGTGTACATGTGTATAAGGATCAAAGAGCAACTCTCAGGAACTGGTCCTTCTACGATGGGTTCCAGACACCAGGCTCACACAGCACAGTCCTTTTCCCACTGAACCATCTTGTCCAGCCTGTATCCACTCCTTACTCAGTTGTTTTAAAACAAAACAAAACAAAACTTCTTCCCTGGCCTTTCCTTCTCATAGGAGAATGGAAGGGGAGAATGGGAGAAGGGGTGTGAAGGGAACTGGGAGGAGAGGAAAGAGGGGAGCTGCAATTGAGATGTAAAGTGAATAAATAAGGAAAAAAACATAAAACAAAAAATCCTTGACTAAAACAACAATCACAACAACAACAACTCTTCCCTATTTAGAAGACTTAAATATGGCTCCAATGACTACAGCAAAGAAAATGTTTAAAAAGTAATTATAGCACAAAGAACATTAGTTTACTTTGGAGAATAAAATCAACAAACTATTATGGGAGTTGTGGGGTAAAGAATTTTGTCTGTGGGATCATGGAAACTTCATTGACAAGTCCTCAGACTTCCCACTGGCCTTTGTGAGATAGCTTCGGAGGAATCTAAGATGGAGGAAGTGACATTATGACAGTGGCGTAGATGATGATGAAAGTGTGGGCCACATAGAGACCAGTTTGTATACAGGTAAATAGGAGAAGAGAAAGACGAAAGAGGAGTTTGGGTACAAATTGAAGCGTCTTGAATGTGAAGCTGTTGACAGCCGGGCCTCACTGCTACTAAGGCGGTGAGTGGAGGAGGTGCCACATTAGCTGGTGTCACTCAGCACTCAGCCCTTCCCACTGTCTGAGAATGCATCCTTGCTTCCTTGCTTGTGTTACTTACTTTTTGACTGCTTGTTCTACTACTGTGTCCTCTATAGCTTACTTTCATTTGGGAGCACAGGAACGCAGACCTTTGCTGTATTTGACACCAGAGGAAACTGGAGACTTCCCTGCACTGTCTGGTGCTGTGACATGGTCAGCTTAGATTCTACACTAAAGCATCAAATGATGCTGAGAAAGAATGCCAAGCCGTCACCACCATGACTACTTCCTTCTGTAGAACACCCCTGGAGGGATGGTGAGATGGCTAAGTGGGTAAAGTCACTTGCTAGGAAGTCTGAAAGCATGAGTTTGATACCTGGAGCCCACATGATGGCAGAAAGGCACCATCCCCTGCAGATTGTCCTGTGACTTCCATATGTTGCTATGGCACATATGGATACATATGTACATGCAATAAATGTTAAACTTTTTTTTTCAAGAACACTCCTGGATTGGCCCTCTCCAGAGGCAGTGGAGGTCCCTGGCCCCCACTATAACAATATTCTCACCCAGAAGGAAATACCCATACCAGTCATTGACCCTATTTTTTAAAAAAGATTTTTAAAGTTTAGAGTGTTAGGCAGAAGGTTAACTCGGAGATTGACTGACTGACTAATAGCCACCCCGCCAAACAGGACATAAACAATAGGTGTAGTGGTGTGCTAGCTCATGGCCCTTACACAGGATATATAGGTGGTATTGGTAGATGCTAGCTAGGTCCAGTCAGCACAACTTAAAGACTTCTCCAGGGAAGTGTGCAGAGTGCTGTTGTCCTTTCTCCTAGTAAATACTAAAACCCCTGTGCATATTTGTGTACCTTATACAGCTACTTAGAACAGACGGGATTCTGGATAAATAAGGCTTCTCCTTTCCTGGAAGTTCGTGGAGTTACAAAATAGTGAAGCAGGGAAACAGATATGTTTGAGATCAAGGAAGGTAAACTAGACATTATGGTGTGTGCTTGTAATCCCAAGGCATGAGAGCCTAAAGTAGGACTATTATAAGTTCAAAGCCAGCTGGAGCTACATACCAAGTTCCAGGTCAGCCAGGGCTATGTAGAAAAACCATTATTGGCCCTTTATCTTCTTTTCTGAGAACTATCTGTTTATTTCATTAGCCACTTATTAATTGGCAGTTTTGTGTCTTTGGTGCTTAAGTTTTGCAATTCTTTATATATTTGAGCTATCAACTCCTCAGGCAAAAATTTCTCCCATTCTGTCAGCCATCTGTCCTCTCTGCTGTTAATTTCCCCTGCTGTACAGAAGCTTGCTAATTTTTTGTAGTCTTCTTTGTTGGTACTTGGGACTATTTCCTGTGCTATTAAGTCCTGGTCAGAGGTTCTTGCTTATACCTATAACTTCAGATGTAATCTCTGTGCTCTTTTATAGCTGATACATATCCAGCTGGGCTTTATGAAGAGTGAGAGGTGTGGGTCTCGGTCCATTATTCTGCAAATAGATAGGTGGCTTTGCCAGCAGCATTTGTTGAATGAGCTCTTTTTTCCCATGCCTTTGTCAAAAAATAGGTAGCTACTGCTGTGTATGTATAATTTCTGGGCCCTCTATCCTACAGCATTGATTTAACTGCATGTTTTTGTGCCGGTACAAGATGATTCTATCACTATCATTCAGTAGTTTAATTTTTTTAAGATTTATTTATTCAGTATATATGAGTACACTGTAGCTGTCTGCAGACACACCAGAAGAGGGCATCAGATCCCATTACAGATGGTTGTGAGCCACCATGTGATTGCTGGGAATTGAACTCAGGACCTCTGGAAGAGCAGTCAGTGCTCTTAACCGCTGAGCCAACTCTCCAGCCCCTTGGTAGTTTAATTTGAGGTCAGTTGTTATGATACCTCCAGGAGTGTGTTCTCTGCTTAGGATTTACTTAGCTATGCATAACCCTTTGTGTTTCCATGTCTGATTGCTCATTTGTTTTTCTTTTAGACAGGTTCTCACTATGTAGCCCCTATCTAGTCTGGACTTGCTAGTAGACACAGATGGCCTCAAATTCAC